CAGGTTAATTCAGTTCAAGACTCATCCTACCTTTAACATCCTATCCTAAAAAAGGTTGGGGACCACTGTATTAAAGAATCTGATTGTTATTTGAAATCGTAAAGCTTATCCGTTTTATGAAGTGCAACATAAACACTGACTGAAACTAGACTAATACCTTTCTGGGTTTTAGTTGACAAAAAAAAAATGACTAAAATCATCAGATATAGCTAGGACTAAAACTAATAAGTCATTATATCTAAGATGGCTGTCAAAAACAACACTGCTAAGTCGCTTTTTTTACCTGCTCCTCGATGGGAGCGAGGTTTGTTTACCTCCTGCATTTGTATTTTACCTGCATGACCAAGTGTTATTTTGTATGTTCATTCATATGAACCAAATACTGCCACACATTACATTAATTCTGCATGATTTACAATGAATTCTGCATTTACTCTAAACCACTTTGAAGTACCTCGGAGTGCTGGAGCACGCGCTCCATGAAATCTTTGTAAGGTTTATATTTGAGGGTCTCAAGCTTCATTTCCTCGATCCTCTTCTTCATCTGGGCATTCAACTCCTTCTGCCTCTGAACTTTGGCCTCCATTTCCCTCGCTTCCTCCTCCTCATCAGCCCTCTCCCTTAAGGCTTTGAGCTCTTCCTGCTAAGATGAAAGTAATGATAGTTCATTTATTATGATATTCTTCAATAAAGTTCCATACACTCATTTAAAAATTTGTGTTTCTTCTAACATATTTGGACATGTTTGGTACGCCTTGTTCGATGAAAGAAAACCCACAATGGTCAGTAATAATAAATAAAAGTTATATGAAAATCAACAAAGGAAAATCCGACACTGCTTTTCAACAGAATGATTTTAACGTCATAGGGAAACGGCCGTTCCAACCGTTGCCTTTCCGAATTCTCCTAAGTGGTGCCCGACTTTACACAAGTGAATAAAGTGAATGTGATTGGTCAATTATCAAGGGGGCGGGATTGTTGTGGCGGAAGGTTCGCAAGCATGTTTGATTGTGGCCTGTTTGTCGGAAACATCTTGTTAATCAGTTAGCAAATTAGTGCTAGTAGGTTCCCAATGGGAAATTACATTGGGACCAAGTAGCACTTAGAAACGACGCTGGCAAGGAA